CCCCGCCGCTCCGGATCTGCGCGCGCGCGCACCCTCATTTTCCTCCCTTGATCCACACATCCATCCAACATGGTGGTGCGTCGTGCCCGACACCCAGCGCCCGGTCCTCCTCCCGCGCCTTCGCAACCGCCGCCGCCGCCGCCGCCGCCGCCGCCGCCACCGCCATTACCGTTGCCGTCATGCTGCTGTCGCTGCCCTCCGCGACCGCCGTTGCCTGGTCTAACATGCCTCCCGCCCCCTCGCCCGCAGCTCCCGACCGCCCTCATCCAGGCCTGCGTCGGCCTGACTGTGGTGCGTTTCTCCCTCTCCTCCGCCGCGCAGCCTCCACACCCGCCTCGGCCCCCCCCCCCCTTTCGCCCGCTGATGTCGTCTCCCTCTCTCTCCCTCCCTCTCTCTCTCTCTCTCTCCCCCTCCCCCTCACTCCGACGCTGTGCAGTCCGTCGAGATGAAGAACGGCCTGGTTTACAACGGTGTCCTGGTGGCCTCGGATTCCTTCATGAACATCACCCTGCGCGACGTCATCCTCACCACCCGGGTGCGTGTGCCCCCGGGCGACGCGGCTCCCTCTGCGACCGGCCTTCCTGCTTGTGCTGCCCCCGCCAGCGGCTCTGACCATTCGCGTCCCTCTCCCTCCTCCTCCTCCCCCCGCTCCCCCTCCTTGCTCGTAGGATGCCCGCTTCTTCAAGATCCCCGAGCTCTACATCCGCGGGAATCAGTTCCGAACCGTCCGTGTTTCGGATGAGGTGCGCCGACACTGTGACACCTGCGCTGCCTCCTTGCCCCTGGCCCCGCCCATGCTCACGCCCTGGCTATCTGTACCCCCCTCCCCCGCGCCCGGTCACGCGTATCGCAGGTCATCGCTTCGATCGAGGAGCAGAACGCCCGCCGCGCCCAGGCGCGCGAGGCGCGCGAGGCCTCCTCCGCCATGGCCCCTCGCGACGGCGGCAACCAGACAGGCCGTCGCGATGGCACCTCCAGCACATACCGCTCTGGCGGCCGCGGCGGCGGTCGCGGCGGTGGCCGCGGCGGCGGTGCCGGTGGTCGCAACCGTCGGTCCGGCAACAGCTCCGATTAAGCTACCACGGCCGCTGCGGTTGCTGCGGCCGTTGCTGCGGCCGTTGCTGCGGCCGTTGCTGCTGCGGCTGTTGCTGCTGCTCCCTCCCCCCTGCCCGGCGGCCTCGCCATCCGTCCTTGTTGCGATCCTGCGCTTGCCAGTCGCCAGCTTGTGGCTGGCGGCGCAGCGAGCGGCGTGCGTCCCTGCACGCACGCCCTCACGCTTTCCCCCGTCGGGGCGTCAGTTCGTCCTGCCTCTTTCCCCCCCCCCCTCCCCTCAACCTCTTCCCTTGTGTGCCCCTCCCCCCCCCCCCCTCGAGGCGTGACCTTCTCCCTGCCCTCCTCTCCCTTTCCCCAACAAATATACCCCCCACAATCCACACAAGCTCTGCTGATGCTCGAGAGGGGAACCTCGGTAAAGTCACAAGCAGGCGGTATGCATGCATGCGCGCGCGCGCGCACACACACAGAGGAAGGCACAAGAAATCTATATTCATTTTGGGGGGCGAGAGAATGATGACAGCCCGACGCGCAGGCCATGCGCAGGGGGGAGGGGGGGGGGTAGGCACGCGTTCGTGTGCTCGCGCGCGCGCGCGCGCGTGTACACACACACATGTGCGCTCAACTGGAGCGCACACAGAGGAAAAAAATGATGTTGGACAGTGGCGGGAGGACAAGGGAGGAGAACAGTGGCGTGGAGGGGGAGGAGGCCGCAGAGAGAGAGAGACGGAAGTATATGGCCATATGTCTGCGCGCCGCCCCTCGCCGCCCCCCCCCCCCCCCCCCGCGCCATGAGAAGAGGATGCGAGGGGAGGGGGGAGGAGGTTCAGGCGGCGGAATACGCATCTTCCCACCCCCCCCCCCCCCATTCCGCCCCTTCCACCTCCCCTCTCCAATCTCCTTCCCTCCTTGCAGCTGCTGCGGGCGCCATCCTGGCCCCGGCCCCGGGAGGTCTCCTGACGCCCCCGGCCACCGCGCGAAGGTCGAAGTCCGGCATGGCGGGTGTGCCGACTCTCCCGGCCGAGGCCCGGATTAACGCCGGGATTTCCGACGCCAACCAAGCCTACTACGCCACGGTGGTTTCTTTTGCCTGGCTACGTACGGAGGTCCCGGCCGCCGGTGTGGAGCCATCACCGCCAGCGGCAGTACCGCCAGCACGTCGGCGCGGCGGTGGTCCTGGCAGTCGCAGCCTCGCGGCGTCCTTCCTGCCGGACGGACATGAGTGCGATTTCTGCCAGGGCTCCACCCAGGCGCCGGTCACCTTCCTCGGTGCCCTTGTGGGCTTCTTGCGGACGTTCGGCGTGCATGAGCGCGACACCGCCGGCTTGGTGCTCGGACAGATGCTCGAGGTGTGTAAGATCTTTGATCTCCGGTTTCCTGCTCTCCGCGCCCCCCCCCCCCTCCCCCCCGTGTGTCTCCTTCGCGTGTGCCGTCAATCACTGACTTGGATGTTGGGGGCTGTGCCTCGTGCGTGGGATAAACAAAAAGGCCGGCCTTGTGACCTGCCCGGCCCTGCAGGCCTATTCCCTGGCCGTGCTCGGTCTCCTGTATTGCGATTATCTGCCGGTCTTTGCGGCGGCCACAGCAGTATCGGCATCATCGGCATCATCGGCATCATCGGCACCAGCCACACCATCCGAGCCCCAGACAGGCCCGGCGCCTCTGGTTGAGCCTGTGCCGCCGATCTTCCTGGACGTCGACGCCTTGGTTGGACTGGATCAGATCGCTTTCGGTGCCGGCAGCCAGCTCCCGGCGATCCCAGCGACCGGAGTGCGCCCGGTCGACTCGCACCCCTTCCTGCCGTTGTTGGAGGCCTGGGCCAGTCGCACATATCAAGGCCCGGCATTCCCGGCCCCGGCGGACCCGTATCTGACTGAGCCTGTTCAAGCCCTGCTGGGATCCGACGCCCCGGGAGCTTCGGGATCGTGGCCCGGGCCGACCGCGAGCCGGCGCGATGTCGGCCGGAAGGGCGCCCGATCGACCGGCGCCACAGGGTCTGGTGGGGGCCGTGGCGCGAGCGGTGCCGGCTCTGGGAGCACCGGCAACATCGGCAGCCAGGCACAGTCCCTGGCCCGGCCGTTTGCTGCCCTTGTGGCTCTCTTTTTGCGCATGCAGTTGGCCGTGGCCATTGGCACCGGGGCGCCCTGCTCTCAGGGGGGTCCATGCCCGGAGCCGGTGTCGTCAGCGCCGGCTAATCGCGGCGGCGGCAGCGGCGGCGGCGGCGGGCCCGGCGGCAGCGGTTCGACCAAACCCCGGCGCGAGTGCTCAGCTTGCGAGCTCCTCCGAGCCAATTGGGTGGTTTTCCTCCAACTGCTACGCATCCTGCACATGGATCCGATCCGTTTGTCACATCAACTTCCTCACATTGTGGCTGCGCTCTTTGATGCCGAGGGGGCTTTCTCGGCGGGTGGTCCGGCGGGCGCCGCTGGCAGCAATGCCCCCTCGACCATGGCCGAGGCCAGTCCCTTCGCCTTCGGAGCCGGGACAACGCATGCCGACTGGCCGGCGCACTTGGCAGATGCCCCGCTGGATGGCGGCTCGGCACGGGTGTCTGTCCCGCTGTCCTTCGGGTTGGGAAACATCTCCATTCGGTCGTCGGGGCCGGTTCCGGCCTCGGCCGATGCCACCGCCAGCGCCAGCACCAGCACCAGCACCAGCAGCAGCAGCACCACCACCACCACCACCACGGCAGACTGCTTGCCCTTCTTCCCCCACACCATGCCTTCTCCCGAGCCGGACCCCCTTCCCCGAGAGGCGCAGCTGATTCTCTCGTCGCACCGGTCCGGCGGCCACCTAAAGGCCGGTCCGGTCCCCGGGGTGCTGGGCTCCTCGCTGGCCGAGCAGCAACATCCGCAGCAGCAGCACCAGTCGCCACCGCCGCCGCAACACTCGCCGGCTGGCGGCGCCTCCTCTTCTGGCGGACCTCAGCGGCGGACCGGGCCGGGCGGCGGCGTCACTGGCGCTGGCCGTGGTCGCGTTGATTCCCCGGCATCGTCGGTCGGCGTGGCTGTCGACACGGAGGACTTCCTGCAAACGGAGGACTTCCGCCGGTTGGCGCATGTAACCTTGACAGCGCTGGTGGCCAGTGGTGTGGCCGGCTTCCTTGGGCCCCTGTTGGCGCACTCCACATCGTTGGCGGTGGCGGCCAAGCTCCACACGCCGGATCCCCTGTCCTTGGCCCTCTTCCGGCCCAGCAGCAAGTCGCTGCTGTCCCTCTCTCGGGATCTGAGCATTTTGAGACATGGCGGCCCGGCGGCCGAAGCCCCGGGGATAGGTGTCAGCCCGGAGTCCGGGGGCCCTTCTTCAGGGCCGGATCTCGGCCTGGTTAGCTTCTCGCCTTCGGTCATCCCATATGGGGATCTCCTTCGCTATGCGCAGAGCATTGATCCTACCGGGGCCCTGCTGGCCGGGGCGGCCGGAGGGTCGGCATCCGGGCACCAATCTGCCAGCGGCCCTGGCCCCGGCGGGGGATCTTCCCTCGGCGGGGGGTCTGAGCTTCACCCGCCGGTGATCACTCCACGGGGAGCCCCGGCCGGGGGTGGGCGCGCAGGGCGGCGAAATAATGCGGCCGCGGCCGCGGCGCTGGCCGCCGCCAAGGCCAACGCCCGGGAGCGCGCAGCGGCCCTGGCTGCCGCCCAGGCCACCACCCTGACCATTGCACAGGATGCCGCGCGCATGACCCCAGTCGATACCGCGATCAGCCCGGATGGCTTGCTGGCCTCCTCGCTGCCCCCCTCGCACTATGCCCCGATGTGGCTCTTTGAGACGCCTTCCATCCCGTATTTCCCCTTCTCGGTGTTTGGGTATGCCCCGTCGGCCGGCACTCGCCCGGGCCCGGCCCTGTCGGTGGCCCTGGATGGGGATTCCCCCTCGGCCACGGAGCCCCCGATGCCGGTCTGCCTGCTGGACCCGCTGGTCCGGGTTCCCCCTGCAGAGGAGGGTCTCGGGGTCGAAGTCGGTGGGGTGGCCTCGGATTCGGACTTCGAGCGGCAGCTCGAGGCACTGACACCGCGCCTGGCATCGCACCTGCTGGCTGACATGTTCCCGGATTGCTCGGCCACGTTGGCAAGCTTGCCGGAGATGGACCTGGATGCGGCGGAGCAGGCACTGGCCTTTGGCCTGGATCAGTTCGACCGGTCAGTGTTCCTGGATCCGGTGGCCGCGGCCTTTCGCATGCGCCGGGGCCGGGGCGAGGCCGCTGGCGACGCGGCTGCCAGCCTGGCCTCCGATGAGGCCCAGTCTCGACCTGCCGACTCCTCCATCGAGATGGTGGATCTGGACTTGCAGACGTACATCGACAGTCTCGGGGATTTCAATGGCCTGAGTGATGAGTCGGATGTTGACCAGGACATCCCCTGGATGTATCCGGCCCTGATTTCACCGCAATTTGCCTGGGACGACGCCATGCTCAGTGATCTGAATGTGGCCCTGTCTAATGTGTCGGCCGCCTCGATGGCGGCCAACTCCGCGCTCAATGACGCCACGGAGGCCGTTTACCGGGCGGAGCTCCGCCACCGGGAGTCCCACTCGGCGTCAGCCGACGCGGGGTCCACCGGTGCCCTGTCGGGGCTTGCGTTGCGCTCTGTTCCGGATGGCGAGGACCAGGGCAGCGAGGATGAGGAAGATGGGTACGAGCTGGATAGTGCAGACGACGACGACGACGACGACGAGGACGACGACGATGATGACGAGGACGATGATGATGATGATGACGATGGGGACGACGAGGACGACGAGGACGACGACGACGACCACAGTGACCACGACGACGACGACGACGACGACGACGACGACGACGACGACGACGACGAGGATGACGATGATGACGGTTGTGATAACAGCGATGATCTTGAAGATGATGAGGACGATGTCCCCTGGCCCGTACCGGCTCCCCCTGTACATGGTGCGCTTCTCCCGGGCCTGTAATCGCGCGTGCCCCCTTGCTCATGTTGCCTGACCCATCGTGCGTTGATTGCCAGCATGTCGTACGGCCGGGCCCGCTGCTGCCGCTGTCGCTGCCACCGCCGCCGCCGCCGCCGCCGCCACCAGCACCTCAGAGCCCTTCTTGTCGCATTCATCGCACTCTGCTGGGCATCCGGCGCACCCACCGGCGGGCGGCCTCGAGTGCTCAAGCCAGAGCCCCTCGCTGGCACTCTCGGCCTTTGGTCTTGGACAGCAGTCGCATGGCCTGGGCCATGGTAGCTCGCCCGGGATCCCGGCCTCCGAACCAGCCCCAGGCCCGCCCAGTTCCGAAGCCGGAATTCAAGCCAGCGGCGGCTTCGGCGGGCACCCCTCCCCCGGGTCCAGTCACGACCTCTCCCATGACGGGACCCCGCGAGCTCAACGCCATGCTTTCGATCGAGGTACGACACTGGATGCCTGGCTTTATTTGGTGCCTCCCCCGCCGCGCGCTCACTGACCCGGCATGCCGCTCACTGCCTGTGGGCTTGACAGAAAAATCGGCCAAAATGCTGGAGCAAATCATTCTCGGCTGCCAAGGGCCCCTTTCTACCGATCGGCAACTGGTGCGCAGCCTGTGTCCCGCCCATTATTTTTCCTGGGAGAGGGAGAGGGGGGGGGGAGGGCGAGGCGAGAGGAGAGCCCTCAATGAAAGGAGGCAAGAGGTCAGCCACTTACGCATTGCGATTGCTTGGTCCGCCTCTTTCTGGTATTTTTGCAGGAACTCCTACAAATGTCATCCAATTGCTCTGGCACTGAGTTGTGCCTCATTTTGACGGACATCTACCGGCCGCCGCGAGCTGACTCAGATCCCGGCCTCCCCTCCGGGGCTGGGACCGGGCCCGGAATCGGAGCCGGAGCCGGGGCCGACGGACGTAAACTCTACCTTCATCAATTTGCCGAGCACAATCCCTCGCTCTTGGGGATGATCCTCGCCCAGTTGACCCTTCAGGCGGACATGATCTGCCGGTGCGTGTTGCTTTCCCCTTTCGCCACGCGCGTCGAGGCGCTCCCCCCCCCCCCCCTCATACAGGGTTACTTACTTGGTGTCCGTGATCGACCGGCCCGGCGGCTGTGCAGCCCCTACCGGAGGTTTGAGACAACGTCCATGCTCTATCTGTATGGACTGCTGTTGTCGGGCCTGACCCGGCCGAATTACTTCAGCGTGCAAATCCTTGGCGTGGTTCTCAGCTTGGCCGGGATCATGGAGCAGACGGCACACTTCTCCACGAGCGACATTCATCCTCAGGTGGTGAGCATTCTGTCCAGCTTTTTCACACGCTTCGTGTCATTCTGGTACGTACATCCACACACACACACACACACACACACACACACACACACACACACACACACACACACACACACACACACACACACACATATGAGGCGGTCTTCTCTGGGGTCCTCTCATCATTCTCTGCTCCCCCGCCCCCCTTCCCCCTGGTGGCTGACCATACTCCCTTTGCGTTTGGATGCATCAGCATCTCCATCTGCTCACTGCCTGCTGATGATCCGGCTAGCCTCCAGTTGCCGGACAGCGACGGGTACCTCTGCGATCATCTTGGCGGCAGTAGCATCGACGACGATGACGATGATGACGACGACGACGATGATGGCGATGATGATGACGACGACGACGACGACGACGACGACGATGATGATGATGACCTTGAGGACACTGATGACCATGACGACGACGACGACGACGACGACGATGACGCGGGCCTCGACAGTGCTCACGAGGCTGGTAGCGAGGAGGAGCACGACGTCGGTGATGACACCCCTGATCATCTCCGCCGTCGCCGTCCCTGTGGCCGCCAGCGCCATCCCTACCACCTTCACCGCCATCGGCCCTCTGGGCGTTCCTCGCCCGGGGGGCTGGATGATGACCGGTACAATCACCATGACGCGACGCTCATGCTGGCTGGCCAATCGGGAGACGCTCTGGAGGAGTCGGCGAGTGATCATTTCCTTCGGCACCACCGGCAGCACTACCAGCATGAAGAAGAGCAGCCGACGGAGGAGGGGGAGGACCGTCGTGGCAGGCACGGCCGCGGCATTCAGCGCCCCCACCCGCAGCATTCCCAGCATCCGGCCCTGTTCATCGACCCGTCGGATCGGATTTTGCTGGCCCGCATGACGAGCCTGCTCGCCACACGGATCATCCGTTCTGGGTGGCTTCCTCTGGCGCCGGATCCCTTTGTGGCCGAGTCCCCAGGAGGTCCCGGGGCGGGGAGCGTGGCGGCCCCGGGGGCCGGTCCGACTGAGCCCAGTGCCCTGCCGCCGGGCTTGGCACTGGCCGGGCCGGCTCCCGGCGCCGGTGAGGAGGAGGCCATCGCGCCGTACCTCCTGCTGCCGGAACTGCAGATCTTTTGCATTGAGTTTTGCGAACTGCGAGAGGCGTCAGACCTCTTTGCCGCGGTGCAGCGTGTGGTCATCCGCCATGAGCGGGCTGCCGAGGCGGCGGACGCGGCGGCTGGCGCCGTGGCCGAGGCCCAGCAGCAGCAGCGCCAGCAGCAGCAGCGCCAGCAGCAGCATCAGCAGGGGCAGCTACCACCGCCCTCTTGAGATGTCTCGTGTTTTTCCGCCCGCCCCCCCCCCTCTCTCTCTCCCCCTCTCTCCCTGCCCTTTTCTCTTTCACACACATTTGCAGAAATACACCTGCAGCTCCCCGCATCTCCAATCACACCTGGGTTCTCGTGCCCAAAGGAAAAAGCCACGCACACAGACACACATGCGCAACACACAGGCTGGGGGGGGGGGGGGGAGGGCATACACACTGCGGGCCGATGGATGCAACAATGCGGGCTCGCCATTTGGGCGATATTTTCTCCCTCCCTCCCTCTCCCGCCCTCGATGCCGATCGTCGGGCCCACTGCGCATCAGAGCACGACACACGTGCACAAGGAAGAAAAAAGGCACAGGATCCATGTCCGACAAGAGCGCCATGTATTTGTTGGATGAAGTGTGAAAGAGAGGAAGAGAGAAGGAGGGGACACGACCCGGGGAATGGGCACACCTCCTCCCCGCCGATCCACACAGCTCGCCCCGCGCCGTGCGGGTCTCCCTCCCGCCCCTTCGCTCGCGGCGGTCTCCATAACGGAGGGGGAAAGAGAGGAAGGCAAGGGAGATACGCGCGCGCGGGTAGAGAGAAGCGAGCCGGCGAGTGTGCGTATGCACATGTGTGTATGTATGTGACCCGAAGGCTGGCGGCGGGCGTGTGCACGCGCGCCTCGGGCCGTGCGCTGCGCGCGCACACACACACACACATATACACGTGCATACGCACGTTCCCGATCCTTTCGGGCACCTGCCCGCTCCCTGCCCCACAAGACCGGAGAAAGGGGGGAGGGGGGCAGGGGGCAGGGGAGGAACACCAGGAGTGTGCAATTACTTGCCACCGGAGGTACCCATGCCCATGGCGGTCTTGAAGGAGTCGTACACCCACCACTGGAGACCGGTCAGGGTACCGATCATCAGGACACGAGTGCCGAGACCCTTGGTGAAGAGGTTGAAGAGACCGAACTCAGAGGCGATGGTGCCGACGGACTTGCCCTTGTTGCTGGCCTTGGACATGAGGGAGACGATGGAATCGGCCGGGTGGGAGACAACGGCGCAGATGACACCGGCGGTGTAACCGGAGGCGAAGGTGATGCCGAGCTGGGTGGACTTGGAGTAGGAGTCCTTGGGCTTGGTGAAGACGTTCTTGTAGAAGAACTGGACGGCGGCCTCGAAGCAGACGAACTTGGCCACGGTGTACGGGATCTGGCGAGACCAGAGGGGAACCAGAGAGCCGAAGGGGAAGCGGGTCTCGGCGGCGTTGGCGCGCATGGCAGCCAGAGCGGCCATGGTGCCGGTGGGGAAGGTACCCGGGGGAGAGGTCTGGACCTTGACCTTGACCATCTCCATGGGGCAGAGGGCAATGTCGGCGAACAGCTCGGCGGAAGCGGAGGCGGAGGCCCAGACAAGAGACTTGTACTTGACGGAGTTCTCCTCGCCGAGGACGTTGGCGTAGATGTCCTTGAAGGCCTCGTAGAGACCGAACTTCAGGGCACCCTGGGCGGAGTAGCCAACCAGGGTGGGGATGTGGCCCTTGAAGAGACCGCGAGCACCCTCCTCAGCGGCGATGGTGCGCAGACCGCTGATCAGGCCGCGGTACTTGGAGGGGTTGACCTGCATGTTGCACTTAGTCACATCGAGGGGGGTGACAAGCCAGTGGGTACCACCGCAGGCGAAAACACCACCAAGCATGCACTTGGCGTAGTAGGTGCCGGTGTGGGGGATGGGGTGGCTGAAGCGGGCATCCCACTTGGCGGGGGCGGAGGCGGACATGGTGGTTTGGAGGGGGGGGGGCGGTCTGCGACAAAGATCTGTTTTTGGTGGGTCGTGATACCGGGGGGTGAGGGGAGCGCGTGCGAGGGTTGAGAGGACATTAGTGACGAGGGGGTAAGAGAGGAACAAGAGGACATGATGTGGGTAGAAGGAGACGCCGGATGAAGTGGTGGGGTGGGGCAGCTGAGGGGAGGAAGGGGGGAAGGGAGGGAGAGGAAGAAAGGAGGAAGGGAAGAAAGGAGGAAGGGGAGAAAGGAGGAAGGGAGGAAGGGGAGAAAGGAGGAAGGGAGGAAAGGAGGAAGGGAAGAAAGGAGGAAGGGAAGAAAGGAGGAAGGGAAGAAAGGAGGAAGGGAAGAAAGGAGGAAGGGAAGAAAGGAGGGGAGGGACGAACCGAAAGTTCAAATCAAAGCGAGAGGTGGCTGCCATTCCGGCCAAGGTGCCCCGGGGCTTTTTATCCGCCCACCGACCCCGGCAGGCTGAACAGGGGGAGGGGGGACGGTGACACGCGCCCACTCACCCCCACTCCCCGCGTACGCCCACTTCCCCTCCCCCGGGGAGGGGCCCCCTGGCACGGCTGGCCCGGCCTCACCGGTCTGGTTGGCCCACCTCGGGCGCCGGCCCTTGGCCAATACCGGTCACCCGGCCTCCTCGTTTTTTGCCTTTTTTTCCTTTTTCCCAGCCACCAGGGCGGCTACCGCCTACACCCCAGGCCGGGGGGGGGGGGGAGGGGGGTGCCCGTCCACCCGCCCGCCCATCCGCCCGTCCGCCTGCCCACCCGCCGACCCGGACAAACTAGTGCACGAGGGCCGGCCCGAGCACGACACACGCGCGCGCGCGCGCGTCTCCAGACCTGCACCAAGGAGATACCAGAACCACCGGACAAGCCCTGCACAGGCACTTTGCGCGCGCCGGCGCGCGCAAATGAAACAGGGGAAATTCGGCGCCCAGCTGGAGGTGATGCTTCCAGAAAGTGAGGCCAGCCTCGGGATCACTCGTGCGCCTCGCTCCCCCCTCCTCCTGTGCTGTGACAAGACAGCCCTCCGGGCGCGCTCTTGCTCGTGCACCTCCCGGCGCCCCCCATCTATAATCGGAGAAAGCGTATTGGCGAGACTCGACCACGCCGCGGCGCCCCATCGAGCTTTTGCGCGGCCGCGGAGGGAGGGACGGCGAGGCCGGGGAAGGGCGGCCGATTTTCGCCAGGGTCAGCCGCGCACCTGCCTCCGGTGTGAACCCCGGGAGAGGGGCCTGCGGAGGGGCGGGAGGCCATGATTTTCTCTGGGTCGAGGGGCCGAGACATCCCCCCCCCCCCCGCCCCCCGGTGCAGGAACAAAGGAGCACGAGCGCGGCCTCCCGATCTCCCGGCCCTCTCTCGCGCGGTGTTTGCGTCTCTCCCTCAACCTCCCAACAGAAGGGGGCAGCCCTGCGGTGAGCTTTGGCGAAAATCACAAGCCAAAGCGGACGCCCATTTAGGACAAACCCGCACGAGCTAACGCATGCTGGCGTCCACGTCCCGGTGTGTGAAAGGCGTCGTCCCTCCCGCGCCCCGAACAGGACACCCCCCCCCCC